CTCGTCACGGTGTCTTGGCCGGTCAATGGGAAGAAAGCTGAACATGTTTTCGAGTGTTAAACATAAACACAGTCGCAAAGTACCCAATAGCAGCCCAGGCAAGTACATGGCCTGCTGCATGATGTACCGCCGGGCGCCTGGAGTGGCCAGGAAAAACTGAGGTGTTTTTGTTCTGCACTGGCTGATGCTGAGGTGGCGACGTGGTCCCAAAGGATGTGAACGCTGCCGTGGCCACCATCAAGACCAAGCGCACCATCCAGTTCGTGGACTGGTGCCCCACCGGCTTCAAGTGTGGCATCAACTACCAGCCACCGACCGTGGTGCCCGGCGGTGACCTGGCCAAGGTGATGCGCGCCTGCTGCATGATCCCCGGCAGATTTTGAAGGTCACTTGCTTCTGGGCATCTGTCGCTGTACGACGGGCTTTCCAACGAAGTCATGTCGTTTTACAAAGTGGACCCGCTTGCATTAAGCAGGCTAGCCTTGTTTTAATTTTCACCCTTGTCACACCGTAATTTCACAGTGGAAGGGCTCGTGAAGTTTGCATGGCAATATGTTCCAATTAGTCATGTTAGGGAATGTTCGGGCGTTCCCCTTGTTGATCGACCTCTCCGGGGGCCCAGGTGCCATTGGGCACAATTGGCCACACGAAGCCATATCGAAGACAATCCAAGCTTCAAGTCACTGAGCAGCCAGGAGGGGTGAAGAACCCCAATTTGCCCCTTACTCTAGTCAGAGCCAGTAACGCAAGCTGACTGTCCATGCACTGTTAGGATCTCGAACAGCACCGCTATCGCCGAAGTCTTCTCCCGTATCGACCACAAATTCGACTTGATGTACTCCAAGCGTGCCTTCGTCCACCACTATGTCGGCGAAGGCCAGGTCTTTGTGGCAGAAACAACTTTCAAGCAAGGGCAGCCAGTGTATACACGCAGCTGCCAGGCATGGAGGAGGGCGAGTTCTCCGAGGCCCGCGAGGATTTGGCAGCCTTGGAGAAGGCTGCACAGGGCTTGAACAAACCTGCGTGACAAAGCCCAGGTTGTCTTGCCAGCCTGATGTGTAGTAGCAAGCAACAGCATGCATTGCAAAACTACTTTCCACGTGCCCACAAATGCTTCCAACATGAAGGCCTGGCTGCTACGGTTGCTTCTTTCCATAATTTTGTCCGTTTCAGTAACAGCTCAACAGCTTGATCACTTTGAGCTTTGACATGCTCTGATGTCTGTCGCCACCGCCAAAGGACTACGAGGAGGTGGGCATCGAAACAGCGGAGGGCGAAGGAGCTCCTATGGCTAGAAATCCTGTATGGCCCCAAGTACGCTATGCTTTCGGGGTTCCGGCACTAATTATAGACTAGAAAGCTCATGCAGTCATGCAGGTTTTTTGGCATCAGCAGTTGGGTGGCTAAAGCGCATTTCCTTGAGGGATAAACAGTTTTCGAGTCCGGAAAAGGTGCCATCAGCCACTGCTTCGGCAAAAGACCCGACCCTGGACCTTAAATCGTCAACCCAAGCCTTGTCCTAAGCCGGAACCTTAAACTAGCCAATACACCAGACACCGGAACCCCTCTAGTCTAAACCCAAACTAAGTCAAGCGCAGCCTTTGACACTTAAACCTTATCCCAGGAAGCCCAACCCCCAGCCGGTGCAGGAGAGGAGGAAGGCTACGGCGATGAGTTCTGAACACCGTCCAGATATGGCCGGAGGAACGCCCTGGGATCTCGAGTTTCAACTAGACCGCAGTTTTCATGTCCATTGCCGCTGCACTATCATGACTGGTATGTGGCGCATTGTGGTATTTGGCTCAGTAGCTGGCTTCCTTATGGCCAATACCGTTCATTATTACGTATCACTATCTTTGTTTCAGCATTGTTATGTGTCGCGCCAGGGTAACATGGTAGATATTCATGTTATTCCTGGCTTTCATCATGAACACTAGCCTCATCACAACATGTTATCAATGTTGTTAAATATAGCATAGCCTGTTTCCCACAAAATCGAGAGGCGTTGAAAAGGACAGCATTATTGTTCCTTATTGGGCTTGAGGTTTGAGAAGCAGTAGTGAAAACAAAACCCAAATGGTACACATTTAGACTTGCTGTAAGGACTGTGACCACAAACGCTTTAGGTTTTGGATCCCACCCAATGTAAGAACTGCCACGTAATTCTTTGGCTGTTTTTCATAAGAGCTAAGCTTGCACAACTTTTGGGTACAAATGAGGTGAACAATCTTTATGTGTTTTACGATGATGGCTTGGAGCGTGATTTTTCATGATTCCAAACTTCAACAACAAGACGGTAACGTTTTGGAGCACGTCCAACGTAATGAGCCGGATCCTGGGCAGTTCTTTGGTCAAAATGTGCCAGTGAGCTGCGCTCTCTGAGATGCATGAGGACTTGAGAGCTCTGCCTGCTTAGTCAGGTATGAGCTTGCACTTGCGCAATCGTAAAAAAGAGTTCTCAAATCAGATTCTTTTGAAGGATACGGGCTCCGGTTTCTGGCAGATCTTACAGTACCATTTCCGGCCCAGAGACTCAAGGTCATTCACGCGCTTCTGAGGAATCTAAGGGAAAACATGCATTTCACAAGGCGACTAATGCAGCTATTGTACCGTGCTCCTCGTTCAGTGCAACGTCATGCCAATGTTTTTTTGGACATACATTTTGCAATGAAGAAACTCAGGAGCAACAATGTGCTTAGCACTTTTTTTGCGGCTGAGGGGTTTTGTGGTTTCCGAAGTCGAAAGGTTCAAATGCGTGGGTAGCGGAATGTAACGAACCTTGTCTTTGCATCTTCGCTGGCATCTCTTTGGGTTGAGCATGAAAAACGTTCAATTTGGTTTCACAGCTGAAGTCTGAAGACTTGTGTCGTTTCCAACTTTGTTTTGCCGCTTTTGGCTCAATCAGGATTTGTGCCTGAGGCCACTACATCACGAAGTGACTTCCGACGCTTTCCGACTTTGCAGCCATGCGTGAGGCAATCTGCATCCACATTGGCCAGGCGCGATGCCTTTCAACGGAACAAGCTCTGCGACACCGCTGATGAGGGTTTCGGCCGTCTTGTACAAACCCATTTCATCTCGCGTTCTGCCTACCATTGTCTCGATCTGCTCGTGCGGGTGTTTCACTCCCCATGATCTTGTACCTTTTCCTGCACCACGTAGGGCCGCATCATCTTGAGTTGGTTTGGTGTCAGGGCGGCGTTCAGATCGGCAACGCTTGCTGGGAGCTGTTCTGCTTGGAGCACGGCATCCAGCCTGATGGTCAGATGCCTTCCGACAAGACGATCCTTTACTGCGTTTGGGTCAGAATGTCCCCCTATAGTCTCTGTATAACTGTATAATTATTGCATAATAAAATATACCCCCAAAACCCCTATTCAAGGTATCTAGGTTCTGGAAGTATCAAAAAGTCAGCAAAAGCCGCCAAGTTTAAGCCAGAAAGCTAGGTAAAGTTACCCTGACTAAGCGTGTTGTGAAGTTGTGGCATCAATCAATTATTCGAGACCAGGCTCCAGAGCAAGTGCATCCAAGGATTGGTGGCGGAGATGTGGCTCAGCAGCAAATTGTGAAGTGCGGCAGAACTGATTGCGTCTTTGTAGGTACTTGCTTTGGCTGGTTAAATGTCCATTTCATTTTGGGAACCTGAAGCTGTCAGTCGTGCTCATGCCCATCTCGAATCTAGCGCCCCGCCTCCTTTGCAGGACGCCTTCAACACATTCTTCAGTGAGCACCTCCTATGCATTTGAGACTTTTGGTTTTCCCTGCGTCCGTACTCTTGATGGACAAGATCATGCATGACTCTAAGTCTAAGTGTGCTTTGGCACCAGAGTTTCTAGAGCCTAGGGTTTAGGTATTGTCCGTCCACCGTATAGTTTGGAACCCTCAAGATTCCGGGCAAACCCTTAGGCTTAGGCCGCACACCCCGCAGCGCAATGCAAGGCCTGGAAACTTTCCAAGAAAAATAAAAGATGAAAACAAAAATGAAGCCGCCTCCATCTTGACCTGTACTACCTGTACCTCCACGTTTGGCAGTGTCGGCCTCATCGCTCGTAGAAAGTGCTGCGGAAGGGCAGCGAGACAAAGGTTTCTCAAACACAAGCGCCACATGTGGGCTGACGCTTGGCGCAATGGCCCTGAGAGTTTGACGCAGCTCTGTGCCGCGTGGGGCCTTACCAGTGAGGAGCTCCGTTTCGCCGACGGCCACGCTGCCGCAATCATTGGTCGCCGCAAAAAGTCTCCTCCTATCACTGGCCGAGTGACAAACAGCGCTGTCGCCCCGACAATCGTCGGAGTGGCAGCGGGATTTATGCGCGGACGGGGATATAGAACCAAATCCCGGACCCAGCCCTAAAGGTCAACAAGTTCAAGGGGAGAAACTTCAAATACTCACTTTGAATGCTCAAAGGCGAGAGAACGCATGGTCTTTCTTGGAAACCATCCATGGCGCTGACATCTTGGCAATCCAAAAGGTTAACATGACTACAGCGCAGCCGGGGCCATTCGAACAGCAAGCGCGTGGGATTGGCTTTTGGTGTGGCCATCCGGCCCTGCCAGCTGAATGGAAGACAAACCATTGGCACAGTCATACTTACAAAAGACCATCTTCAGGCCAAGTACCTCGCAGATTACGGAGGGCAAGATGGCAATTTCGTCGCCGTACAGACACAGGGCTGTGTTTTCTGTGCGCTCCACGCTAAACCCTGGATCATCAATGACCATGAGCATGGATCTGACTCAGAGCTGGTCTCCACAATAAGTTCTTTGCCAACGGACACTGTTTGGCCTGCTTTGAGGGATTATAATGAGGAGCCGGCTACTTGCTCTCTTCAAATTTTACTCCATGAAGGGGGGGCTACCACCGTGGCCCTTCGTGACAGTACACGCTGGACACCTACTAGGTGGAACAACGATCGTGCTCTTGACTAGTTGGTAACCAACGCACCGATGATGTTTCAGGTCCAGGAGCATTGGGAGACCAAATTCGGCGACCGCAAGGTAGTAGAATTTTCTTATTTCACCCCAGTCCCGGTGCAACAGTCGTGGTCCTTGCCGTCCACAGTCAAGTATGTCAAGCCGGAGCAGGTGTCAAAACAACAATGGAAACTCGTGCTGGCCGAGGCGTGGGATAAGCGGCAGAAGCCAATTCCTCGAAGTGCTGATACGGAATAACAGTATTGGTGGTTTTGCAGCGAGTTGGAAGCCATATTTCGGGATGCTCTGCGAACCTTGCAGGAATCTCAGCCGAGTGTTGCAAACAAGCGACCTAAAGGTACGGCGGCGGGCCTTCAACCCCGACAGTGGAGCTATGGTGCTCACCGTGGTGGTGAGGGACAGCATCAGGAAAGGAAGCTCCGAATCGCAGCCGGCCGCCTTCGAGCACTGCTTCGTATTCCTAGCCATCACGAGGAATGTCGTAGCAAGATTCTTCAGCGGCTCTCTCGCGCTATTGGCTTCGACCCCGGACTGACTCTGTACCTGTGGATTTGCGGAGAGTTGAAGAGCAACTGGCGCGGCTGCTGTCTGAACAAAGCAAGAAACGGATCCGTGACTGGCGCAGTCGCATGAAAACTAGCAATGTTTACAAGTGGGTGCGACAGGGGCTCTGTTGCGTTCCCAACTCCATGCTCCTGGTTGGAGAGCCTGGTACTGCCTCCACCACCGTCAACGAGGCGCTCTACAACCTCGTCCAACATTGGCACCGTGTCTGGGATCGCAACCCGGTTGATTGGCAAGATCTTCAAGATGCTTTTCGTTTTCCTACCGCTTCTGCTCAAACGTGGAAAAGCCCATCGGTCACAGAATTGGTTGCCAGTGCGCAGGCCCAAGCTGGTCGTGCTGCTGGCCTTGATGGGTGGTCTGGAGATGAGTTTGCCAGCGTGCCAGAAGCAGCTTGGCGATGCTACAGTGAGCTTTTGGAGATTTGGTTTCGCAGGGCCAGGAATGACGATATGCATCCTTTTCCCATGGACTGGCGGGTCATCAGACAAGTGCGCGTCCCGAAGACTTCGGCCGCTCAACACAGACACCATGCTGAGCCTTACTCTTCATAGGATATGAGACCGATTTCTGTTGAAGACACGCTTTGGAGGGTCACCATGTCCAGTATCGCCCGTCACAAGGTGCAACGAACCATGAGTGAGAACAACCATGAGATCACTATGCTTACTTATACATCGATGATCGTAACACGGTGGTCCAGTCGGTTGAGGCAGCGGCTAAGCTCGTCGAGTCATGGAATTTTTCATGCTTTTCGATTCGGCCTCAAAGAGAATGAGGCAAAGTTGCGAATTGTTCCTCGTGGGATTGCTTCCAGGGGGCGTGACGCGTGCGTTGAAAAGGGGCCTTGTGGACAGGCT